CATGCATCACTGGTCAGATGAAAATCCAAAAGTTGTTTGCCGTACAAATTTCTAACATAGATTTTCATTGAACTTATGGGCAGGAGTAATTGGGGATCATTGGCCTATTGTACTTCCCAATCATCTTAATTCAGAGGTGTATCTGAACTTTCTTCAGAATGAGCTCATGGATATAATACCATTGGATGTGCGCCAGCAGTTTCAAGAAAATATGTTTTTTCAACATTATGGCGCTCCTGCACATTTTGGACGCAATGTTCGAAATTGTTTGAATGTCAATTTTCCAGACAGGTGGTTAGGCCGAGGAGGTCCTATACCGTGGCAGCCACGTTCACCTGACCTAAATCCATTGGATTTCTATTTTTGGGGGTCATTAAAAGACCTAGTTTACTCGACTGAAGTAAATACTCAAGAAGATTTTGTTCAAAGAATCCATCAGGCTGCAAATGAAACAAGAAGAAAAAGGTTTTCCACTTTGTATCTAACACAATGGGAATTTATTTGAACACTTATTGTAAAGCTAGTTTTAAGTATATCCAACTGTCTTCTGTTTTAAACAAATTTCAATTTCGTTCGTAGAAAAAATTTATTTCTTATCTTTTTGCCTAAATGTTAGCTATGTTGCAATATAAATATGTATTTATGTAATATTTACCAATTATTAAATTAGTTTTTTTCGTTGCCGTGGCTAATTATTCAACAATTCATTTAAATTCACAGTACATTTCCCATCATGTGACAAATTTTTTAGTTTGATTTTATTCAAAAACGGCACAATTTATCGATATTCAATAAGAGTACCTTTTTTATGTAGAAAACCCTAAATTTTCAAATTTTAAAATTGAATTTCAAAAATAGAATCACACAAAAATTTTGAGGCTAAAATAACCTGAGTCCGTCCCGGTTACATACGCTTCCAAACATAACTGTCTAAAATTGTTAATATTTTTAAATCCAGCATAAAAAACTAGGCTAGATTACCAAATTTTATGTCTTTATCTCAACACGTTTCGGAAATATTAAGGAACGGGGACGTTTGTCGACCTATATAAACTTATATAAACTTTTCTTCCTATTTTAAGCTCTAGAAACCGCGAGTAGAATATTGCACACTTTTTTCGGGACACCCTGTATATGGATTTTTTTATATATATACCGCTTAAATCTAAAAGTGTGGAGACCTACAACATTTACCTCTCTTAGTAGGCTGAAAAGCAGATTGAAAGCATCAAGCATGTAGTTTTTAAATTGTGTACTGTCAAAGTCAAAATCATCAATGGCATGTCTCATTGTACTGGCAGCTGCAAGTCTGATGGCAAGGTCTTCTTCAGGAGACAACAGATTGTTAATACACTCATACAGTAATGGTCGAAGATCATTAGAAAGCTTTATGCCTGTCCACCTGCCCATCAGAATTATCACTCGGCGACGTATGACCCTAAAAAAAAAAAACGTATTTTTAAAATACCAAATATTTTTATCCTCTTGGTGATATTTTGAGGGCATAATATTGTAGAATGTGTTAAGTATTATTTGATGCTTCTGTATATACAGTTAAATCCATATACCACTGACATCATAATGTGTACGAGAGAGAAGCATGCAATACGTGTGTTAGAAAGAGATAGCAGCACCTTGTTGCCTAGCAACCCAAGTGAAGAGGCGATGGACGCAGATGTGGCTTGCCGTGTTACCATTGGCGACTTTCTAACATACATACTGCACGTTACTTGTGCTTCTAACTCGTACATGTTATGACATCACCTAAATTTGAACCTCACCATACATGAGTCAAAATAAACTGTGGCTGTTATCCATGTAGTCAGCACATATTTTATTTTGGCAAAATAATATGAACTGATTTCTGAACTGTGGTTTTATTTAATTACCAATCACCTTTCTTTCTTCTTATGTGACTGATAAGTAGTGATAAATTGTATAGATGTTGTAGACTTACAATGAATAAACATAGGTTTTTTAGTTTCAACTTATTCTTAATAAACAAATATCATATCATGAGCAATAAATGCATTTTTTATAATTTTACTTCCATATGACATTTCAGTTGAGCTGCTTGTCAATATTATGTCTTGTTATTATTATTATATCATGTAACTCTTGTAATGCATATCTTAAATAAGTTTTATGCTTACCTGTAATTACTATCCTTGATTTTTAACTCTTGCAAGAGTGTTGTGGTGAACCACTGGTCAAAATCCACTTCTTCATACAAGTCAAATGCACACAAACCTACTGCATTATAAATTGCATCTTTTTTCAAAATCCCAGTTATATCACCAGGGGAAACAAGTGTGTTGCAAGTCTGCATCAAGTCCAAAATAACGGGTGTGACAATTTTCCTATATTCATGAAAAATTGTCACAAAAACAGTGTCAATGCTAGGTCGAAGACTGTACTTCCAACTGTCACCAGTCTCATCACTTGAGAAAGCTTCTGGATCTGATTCCCATATAGCCAACTCATCTGGAGTCAAGATGAAATAATGTCCAACTAATTTGCGACACATGTCTGCTAGTCTTTCAGGGGTGAAAAAGGCTATCTTCACATGATGCGCTTTCAATGTTTCTGGGTTTCTAGTCATCTCAGGGACCTTGGCAGCTTTGTACTCAGCACACAGCAAAATATTTTTTATGAGACTGAAGCATTGGATAATGAATCTTTCAAATAAGAAACTAATGCCTTCATCGGTAAATAAGTAGTAAAATGTGAAGTCTAATGTTGGCTCTATGAGGTCAACAAAAGAAAAAGGATGAATATCAAGAATAGACAGAGGCATCTTCGTCATATGGATGACATATTTTTCACACTGCTCTACTAAGTTTGGGTCTTTTCCTTTGATTTGCTTATGGCACTGTAAGATAATCTTTGCTTTTTCAGGAAGTATTTTCAAAAATGACATGCAATCTCGGTTTTCATGTGGTTTATGAAAACCAAAAACAGTCAGTTTTCTAACAACTCTGAGTGTCAACAAGGCTTTTTCCAAACTAGCAAATACCACATCACCAGCTGCATTATTCACAACATTCTGAATGAATGTTTCATTGAATCCATTCCACAGATTCAATATAAAAGTGTATATGTTTGAGGTAAATTCTTGAAACAACCTCTTATCACCAGCAAGTCTCTTAGAAGCAACAGCCTTGACTACATGATGCAAGGTTAATAGCGATCTGTGTTGAACCATCCCATTTGAACTCTCAATACCTTGAAGTAAGGTAGGGAATACATTGGGCCACTCTCTTGGCCAGTCCATTCTAGCTACTTTCGATATAAGTACAGCTCTTTGTACAGCAATTTGATTGATAGGTTCTTCAAAAGTCAAGAGTAGACCTTGTCGTATTGTGGATTTCTCTTGTTCTGAAATGGCGTTGGGGGCATTCTTCCGCCAATACCTGTCCACCCCGTTTTTGAGGCAAAGCACAGCCATAAATCTGATATTCACATCCATCGTAAAGTCGGAGAGAATGTTGAGCAAAACTGCGTAGAAACCCGGTTGAGTCTCCCATTCTTGCAGTTTAATTTCCGCGGGCTTTAAAATAGAAGGGTCCTGGCTGGACGCCTGCCTTAGGACGTCCAATACTACCGCATAAGTCGAATCCATGTCTTAGGTGCAAATGGAGCACATTCGGAGCACTTTTCAGGGCATTCGAAGGTGTATGTTTGGATTTCAATCACTCTCGTAAACGACAGATTTGCGGACAGATGGAAAAGTTAGGTTAAATGTAGAGATGCACACGTACGATGTTTTTCGATGTTGACGCAAATGCAAAACATCGATATTCAATTCAGTATCGATTCTCGAATGCCGGATTTAGGGGTTGTAACATCCAGTATGGTTATTAAAACAAATGCGCTACGATATTCGAAAAAAATACGTTACTATACACATTTTAAAACAAAGGAGATGTTGTCTATCATCTTTTGTTGCGTATTTCTAACAAATACGAAATTTTAGAATTTGTTCAGAAGAAAAAAACGTAACCATTGTTTTTCGCATAAAAATAACACTTATCGTTCGGAATGGTTTGTGATTCATATCGGCAAGGTAAACACGTGTATTTTGCTACTAAATACTCTTTGAACGAACCTTGTATATTGCCCAATAAACTAGTAGAGATGGCCGGAAAACAGCTGTTTTGGCATAAACAATTAGAAATTCTCAAAAAAATACTTGACCAATATACTCCAAATTTTTTGTTGTTATTGAGAAGAATGAATCCTACGGATTTGAAGAATTCTAAGAATTCGAATGAAATTATCGCATTATGCCTCGGTTTTCGGCCATAACTTTTTTATCGTTAGTTGGATTTTTTTACATGTGATCTCATTCTGTAGGTCTACCTAAAATTCTTTTGTGGAAGTTTTTTGTTCCTGCCAACACTTTTGAATCCCCAAAAAAAATAAAACACGTTTTCTCATTCTTTGTTGTCAAATAAAAAGTTTTACCACAAAAATTGGTGTACCTATTTTATGCGTCCATGTTTTGAATACCCCCTTGAACAAGTTGCGCCAATAAATCCAGACTTAACAATTATTTCGGGAAATTTGCTAATATGATTAGACTAATAAGCTAAGTATGCGAACCAAGTTTTCGAAAAATATAACGGGTGTGAGTTGTGAGGTCATAAATAAATGGCCAAAACCAATGAAACTCCCCCTTGTATCTAAGTGGCTAAAGACCCATCAACTATGGGATTTTTATTACTACCAGCCTTTCTCTCTCTCTCATTATGCTCCAGATTAAGAAAGGTAACGATGGATATTAGTAAAATAAATGCGAGAAGGTCCAATGTTTTACTTTGTTTTGTGAAGGAAATTCGATTTTTAGAGAAAACACCCGGCATATTTGATGAGTATTCTGTACTTTAGAATAGGCTTTAAAAAATAGTTTATGTTTATTATTATTATGGGCTCATCCATACGTCACTAGGCTTCCTTTATATATAATAGGTTAAACTTGCATCAAACAGACTACTTACCTCGCATATAAATTCTGGTTCCCGCATATCGAACACGCCTTTGCATATTTCCATAAAGGTCTTTTCTATCATTTGTAACTGATGGTTATTCACCTCCACCAAACCACTAGATATGACTTCGAAAAACGTCACAACACTTTTCAATGAAATGAAGCAATCTATATTTGCAGCAAATAGTTTTCTGTACAGCGATTTCATCAACATGTTAGTATCACCTACAACACGAGTATGTTCAGAATACAGTTTAATTAATTCAGAGTACTTTATTATTGTAAGGCCCTGCATCCAGTTAGGATTATTATATGCCCAGCGAGAGAATGCAAAGCAAAGGAATGCGGACGCTAAATAGTAAATGTTGTCAGACATTGTGCATGAAACTAATATTTGGAATAAACTCACTGAAAACGCAAGGAAACCATTGTCTACGCGACATGTATCCATACGGGAAAGAAAAAAATAATAATCGCTCAAACTTCGTTTTTTGACATTTCAGAGGTTCCAAGATAATGTTCGGAAAAAAAATTCCTACAGGTTGAAAATTGGGGATTGAAGGGGGTAGGGGGTTGCAAATCTTATCTCTGTAGTATCAGTCGAAAACGTTCTATCATTATGATGCATCTACACTGTACAACTCATTGCCAGATATAGTAAAAAATTCGCCCTCACTTAGGCCCGTATCGTCAGTCGTCCCTAATTGTAGGGCGCGTTTATGGCCTCCTTGATTGTCATACGCCTTTCTCTCCTTCAAAAATTTCTAGATTACACTTGTCCCGTGTCAGCGTCAGCGCTCTCCTATTGTGAAGATATGTTTTCCTTTTAAATTGTAGGAAATTTCAGGCTGATAAAACATGATATAACTCAAAAGCAAGCACAATTTGATGCAAATAGATGTTTGTGACATAACCTCAAAATAGAGCTCTGACACGGAGAAGTAGAAAACTATGACAATCAAGGAGGCCATAAACGCGCCCTACAATTGTAGGGACGACTGACGATACGGGCCTTAGTTGCTTTCGCAATAGAGTCATACCTTATGTGAAAAAAATTTGTTTCTACTCTTTATATTAATTATAATTATTAAATCTGTAATTGTTAGGTTATCCTTTTAGATTAGTATTATTTACGGGGGTTGTATGGAAGAACAACGATGATGAATGCCGCCTCACTCATCAAATGAGTCTGTTTTTTTGTACTATTAATCTAAAAATAAAGTCGGAATATACAATGTATTTGGTCACGACATACCGAAATTTAAGAGGGGTATTTTTCAGCTATTTTTATCGACAAATCCACCCCCCTACAATTCCTACCTCATCCGCCTTGAAATGGCAGCCATTTTTATTTTTACTTTACGATTAGGGTAGTGCATATATGAAAATTGTAATCACTGAGTACGTAATTATCACAGAATGATAAATTTTGTGTCATTTGAACGATGACATGCTGACTAAGCGATTATTGAAAAATTTGTTTTGATACCAATCGTCAAACATACTTAAAAGCAGACAAAAACAGAAAAAAATGTCGAAGAAAATTGATTATTTTATGCATTTACCACACCATTCAAAAACTAGCCTGTGAAGTTGTACGTGCTAATTCTACAGCTTTTTGTTATCTTAAGTATTCGACGTTAAGCAACAAATGCTATCTAACATGGGTCAAAATGGCTGTAATAAAATGCAAATTGTTTTCAAACTTTATATGCATAAAAATGACAAATCAATGTTTCTTATAGAGAGTTTGGACATGTTTAATGTTACAGAAGCTGTTCAAAATGTCATCCATTATTGGTTATGCACATTGTTGTTCTTAAAACAATGTGTCGTGTCAGCCCTAATTCCGTTCGCAGCGGTATGGATTAATTTCAAGGGGGGTGAGGTATGCCATTGTAGGGGATGGATTTGTCGATAAAAATAGCTGAAAAATATCCCCCTCAAATATCGGTATGTCGTGACCAAACACACTGTATATAATGTGCTAATAATTCGAAATAAATAAATTGTTGGCGTTGCGGGCACAGCTTGATGATGTAATGCTGCATGGTCGTGGAGGCCACTGCCGACAGTGGCAAGCACATTGGGTAACTACTCGTAACTCCAACTGGTGTACTCCGACACACACCGCTACAGGGGAATATTTATATATTTTAGAAATATTTGGGTATTTGGAGTATCTGCCACTATAGCGTTCTGGGATGCTTTTGTAAATAAAGACTTAATGAATATATCTTAAAGTAGATTGACTCAGTGCTTATCACGCATTGATATACAACAGACACGGACTGTCAAACCGACATGACTTAGAAACACGGCCTTGTGTGTTGCAGATATCTATAAATAACAGAAGACTTCTAAACTGAAGATCGAATACCATCGCGAGTTCAGTACTTCCATTGTATAGGCTGTCGGAGATTTTGAAAATTGATTCAGTGGCCACGGGACTACGGACAAAAAATTAAAATAGCTGAAAAATAGTGTTACAACGTTTCAGAGATTCCTGCTCATTACCTATTATCAAAAAGGCTGCGGACACCGGTAATATTATGCATCTGTTAAGACATGAGTCATGCATGTCTATATCTGCCATGGAAACAGAAATGCAAAGATTTAATTTACATAGTTTGATATGTAGAGGTCGAAGATTCATCGTAATTTTTTTTCACATCCAACGAAGGCGTAGGAAGTATAGAGTCAATCTCAATGACGCCATTTTTCTGTACATAATCGCGCTAATGCGTTGGATCTTGCATTGGCCGCAACACGTCTATGTACGTCATAACATGATGCACAGTGGAGAAACCACTATCACGGAACCGTTTTCAAAAAAAATGTCAAGAGGCCAGCTGCTTTTGAACATCACATTTAGGGAACGCTTCCATCGTCAGTTACGACATTCTCATGATGACAGAAATGCGTCTGTGGTGGTATCAGCGAAATATAAAAAAAAACAGTTTGTGTCCCCGAGTTGATCAGAGACCAGCAACACAACACTTACATTAGTCTTCTTACCAAATTTTAGAATATCAAAGCCTATTTGCCTTCATTTTAAAGCTAGAGCCTCGGGTAAGCGTGTTGGTGAAGTCTCGTAATGTAACAGTGAGACGCCTTCGACCACCATCTAGCAATGATGGATCGAAAAAACGCGGGATCATTCTGGACTCGCCGAGTATAAGGTAAATACACACAGAAGGCAGAGCGGAGGCAGAGTAGATGGTGAGTCAGCAGCGTGAAACGTGATAGTCCAATTGAGCTAGTCATAAATACATATGTAGTAAATTAGTTGCAAGTGTTGTAATGAATTCGTGTGAGGGCAATAAATTAGACTAAATAGTGGAAACGGTGTTTTTGTTACAGTAAAATTGCGTTTCTACTGGGTAATCTATTTGTTGCAAGCAACTTCACATTCATGAAATGGGTTTCTCACGCAAATCCCGAAAAATTGTGCCATGTGCCGAAAGACCGAAACGATGAATGAAAACATGTATTTATATACTGTTTATTTCCCAAACCAATGATTTTGAACATTAATATGGTTGGATTTGTATCGATCGGCCTATATATGGGCAGTCATATTGGCGGATTCATATATCGGCAAATTACGCCGATACTGCCGATATACATATGGTATCCCTAATTTCAATCAATACCTATAAGCTGTTAGACTATTCTAAAGCCATGAACATGTTTGAAGTTTCAAAAGAGTTTTCAAGGGGTGGACCACAATGTACGGTAAACGATACTTAGACGGTTACTGCCTAGCGGAAAGCTGACAGTGGGTGGTAGTTTTCGTATTGAATACAGAAGCAATTCGTCAACGGTCTCTGCGTTTACCCTTGCCTTCTTTCGATGGGAAGATATATAGTTTCGCCAAACATACGTCGAAGTTTTGAATTCGTGCATTGAAAGTATGAATTTTCCAGTTATGACAGGGCGATGTTCAAATGGGATAAAAAAAGCTGTATGAGGTATTAACGAAATTCTTGTTTTATTTGTATTGTGTTTATTGTATTTCATTTTGTATGGAATAGAACACGTGATTCTAGAAACCCACTTTCCAATGACCTTGTCGCATACATCCGACTGAATTTTAGGAGAATGGGTGGTCTTGAAGAGGGCGTCGGTAGATTGCGATTTATGACACATGACACATGAACGTCTATTGGGGTCAAATCCAACGATCTTGGAGACTAGTTTACGTCACCTCCTGCGAGTGATAACCATACACTCAATGCGCCGATGCAGATCCATCATGCAAATGATTAGTGGACCTAGAGCCCCACTTTCAGAAGAGCTGCTTATTCACACAATAGCTTGTCAATACATTGCCACCTGATGTCATAGGTCAATGCTGCACATCACAGATCTCTGAAATTCAGCCAGATCTATGAGGCAGAGTAATTGAAAACAAGATGGTCAGATCCAAGCCAAAATTAAAAACACTTAACATACAGCTTGTTTTATTATCTTTTAACATCAACGAGTCCTTATTGAAAAACCTTTATATAAAATCTGATTAAAATATTAGCTAACCCGAATTTTATTTGTTTAGGTCTATATCAAGAGCAAACGTGCTATCAATAGTAAATTGTCACTATGCCTAACATGATATGAATCAAAACATGTACTCCAAATTTTAGGCTTACCTGTATATCTATATGTGAATTCGCTGAAACAATTTTCGTTTTTTGAACAGAACCTCTTCAAAAGAGGAGATACTAATATTCCAAATATTGCAGCAAGATTCTGCTTGTGTGTTAACAAACATACATTCATAAAGAAATTGTAAATATCTGGCAGGTGTCTGTTAACACCACACACTTCTATGTGTGATGTATACTTGCTTAAAAAACTTTGAAGCAATGTATTTTCATCAAAAAACTGTAGAGCTGTATTTACATCATTCTGCAATGCCTTGATCTTGATTCTCATCACCATACTTGTGAGTTGTTCTGAATATTTCAAAAATGGGCCCAGTAGACATTTATTTTTCGTACATTTAATAAGATCCATATTTTCTAGAATACTTTTGGACAAGTGGCACCAAATTTTGCTTACATCCATTCTGTATACCTTAGTTAGATCACTGGTGTGCTCTGTTTGCAAGATATCTTTGCAAATGTCATTTTCAACAGAGTATACCAAAGCACTATTATGAAACTGTGCTATGAGATGTATGTAGTTTCCTCTGTTGTGATGCTGTTGTGATTTTTTTAAGGAAGCTACCTGAACCTCTTGTGATGGCACACATCCTTTGCTTTCAAGACTCTTCTTGTACACAAATGCATGTAGATTATTCAAGCAAATAAACCAATTGCTCTTTCCTATGATATCAAAAAACCTAACAAGCCCGTTTTCAAATTTATGCATATCATCTGTAGTAGTCCAGATCTCCTCATTATATACTTTATATACTAGTTGCTCATACAACATAGTGAATAACGTAAGCTTTCTCTTTATGATAGTATTCACGTCTACAAGGTCAAAAGTCTTGTTGTTCAAGATACTTAAAAATATGTCAACAATGCTTAGCTTCATGCTTAAGTTTTTACTTCCTAACATAGCCAGTAGACAATCCAAGTTTCTGGTAGTATTTTCATCGAAACTATAAAATGTGAAGTTCTCTGAGAGAAACAGTTCAATTATCTTCATCATTTTTTCTAGAATACTAACACATTTTGATTCTGAAGATACCTCAATAAAAGCCTAAAAAATAATACCACAAAAGGAGTATATCACTATACCTTATTTAAACCTCATTTACTCAAAACATCAAAACTAATGTGAGTACTTGATTGGTGCTTCTATCTACTTGTTGCATCCTGCACAGGCATTTATAGCAACTTACAAATAGCAGCACATGAAATTGAAAGTTGAGCATTGTTGTTTGTTTTAACAGAGAGTAAATGAGATAGGAATATAAATATACAATAATGACAAGACAAGACAGGAAAATTGTAGCATGTATCTTTTTACAGACTAGTTTTTGGCCTTCATGCATGTGTTCCCTTTATAATATAAAACCATACTCACCTGAGTTAGATCTAGATTAGTACTCAAATCATCAAACTGCTCAGGTACAAATACTTCCAATTTGAGTGTTTCTTGTGGGCTGTTATAAAAATCAACAAGCATTTCAAGTGCTTTGCTGTATTCCTTGTAAAGTTCATTGTATATATGCAGTTTTGTTTTAGATAAGTGCTTTAAAATATTGATTTGAGTATCAATAACGATGTCGTGCACTTTTAAAAACTTTTCACTGCCTAGGAAATAGAAAAATTGCCCGAGAAGCCAAGTGGTGAAAGCTTTGTACTTATTACAAATATCTTGATACTTCTCAAATGTATGGCAAGGATCTTTCGTGCAAATGAATATTATATTTGAAAATTCTCTGGATTGTATAATATTAGCTAGTTTCTTGACACCACTCTCCGAGCACTCGGCTTTTCTTATTTCTGGTACCATTTCGTTAAACATTTTCCAGTAGGAAAGCACAGAGTCTGCGACATTATCTTGAGCTGACATGATTATACGATTAGTAGTAAGAAATTAGTGTTGGATTACTATTTCTATATTTTACTTGTGAGTCCAGTAATATGATTATAAATGTTTATCTGTTTCTGCTTTTTTCTTTTAAAGCCCGGGAACATTTCAGGAATATAACCTAGAAATATTCAAATCATAGAACACAGATGCTTAGAACTTAGAATCACAGGTTTTCAAGAAACGTCATTTTTACGAAGTACCGAAGCATCAGAGAGACGACCAATCACATGGAGATTACGACTAGGGAAGCCACGCCCTTTTACCGCTTTTAGGCGGTGATTATGAAACGGGGGTGAAACGTCTTATGGGCGAACTGGCAACACCAAGGTCATTCTCTCCAGGCACAAAACACATAAATCTCCAGGCAAAATCTAGGACACTTTCTTACCAACAGAGTTTGATTTTTGACAAACGAAAGTGTGACTTTCCCTGGGACCCTGGGAACTGGGAACTTCCATTTTGTTTTCAGTCTGTATTTTGAATTGGGTAACCTACACATTAATTTTTTTAATTATTGATTTAATTCCCAATCGAGAAATTATCGTTCACTAATCTTCATATAATAATAGTAATAATAACCTTTGTCATATATTTTTCAATGTAAATCACTTGTGATTGTGTGCAGGAATACTTAAGATTGCATACTTCAATAAGCTTGTTTTTATTTTGTAAATCAATCATGTCTAGATTTGGGGTTGCCTCTTCGTACATCGTTAAAGTACTCATGCAAAAATTCCTATTTCAACATTGTTCGGAAATCTTCTTGTCTATACAAAAATAAAGTATTCCATTGTTTACCAAAAGATGAAAAAACTTGCTGTATGGAAGGCAGCTTGTAAGATATCTCTCACTCGTAAAGTTTCCAATTATTATGTTTGTGAGGATCATTTTTCAATGTTTGATCTTAGTAATCCGCAAGATCCTTCACGTCAGATATCTTGCCATACCAGTGTCCCCCAATACAGTTTTAAATTCAAATAATAGTCATCCTACTAAACCAGGTCCCAGTTCAGTATCCAGAGTTTTATTTAATGACCCTCCTTCTGGAGAGGCTACCACAAATCCAACCCCTTCTTCCCAAAACATTGAAATCAGTGGAAGTGGTTCTAGATCAGAATCTAATTATTTAGATAAATATTCTTTTTTGTTAGAGAAGGGGATAGTAATTGTGAATCCTGTGCAAGGTGACGTTTAAAGAGCATGATGAGCAAAAACGATTGAAGTATGCAAGTCAAGATTTAATTAACCTGATTGGTCTTCTGGTTGAAAAGCTGTATGCATTTTTAGAGCAGCATGGTACAGAAGACCAACTGGAAGTTAAATTTAAATGGAAGTATTCCTGCATCCTTCAAAATTACAGCTTTTGTCAGCAGCATGATGCGGCAAAAGGTATAATTGAAAAAACTGCTCGGTTGAGAATTTACAAATATGTAAAGAGAAATTCTTTGAAAAGCAGTGGTGAGACTAGCAATAGTCATATATCAATAAATAAGAAATTCAAGACAGCTAAAGTCAAGTAATGCTTTTTATGTAGTCCAGCACTCTTCATTCATTGAATTTTCTATTTACTTTCAGTAACCAAATACTATTGTGATATTATACCTAAACAATATTTTTTTTGCTTCATAGTTGCACCATCCTTGGGAGGGAGCAGTTGGACAAAAAATAATTATTTATTTTGTTACTCCCTGTAATGTTAAAGCCATCAGGAGCTTTTGGTTTTCAGTATGAGGAATGTCTTGTTTATTTTTAACTTTGATTCCTTCTTTGAAGAAAATTTTCCTCATTTTTACACTATAAAAAATAATGTTTTCTCAGATTATATTTTTATTTCAGTTATTTATTTAACTAGAGAAATTTTTTTTTGTTGTTTTAGTATGAATATTTACATTTCAGTGATAAATATACCTCATGATGGATTAACAATAGGTAGTGCATGCTAAACACTTCCTTTGATTACTAAGGGTTCCTTTTTATCGCTTTTTATGCTACTATTGTATGATTTGTATTATTTTTTGAAACATCACTTATTCACTTAATAATATAGAGAAAGCTCCGGATGTCTAAAAATACCTTTATATATTATTGTCAATGTGATGATAAATTATTACTTATTATTATTATTCATACATTTAACTATTTAATAAATATTTTATTAATTACACATTTATTTTTTATTATCCCAAAATTGGTTACCAGCAAAACTGCTGAATCAGGTATTTCCTTTATTGAGGATATTTTATGTGTCTATGATAATAAAATATTTCTTCAATATGGGAAATATCACTATCAGTAGATTTTAAATTGTAAACAAACTAAATCCTCAGCACATTCCTTATCTCCCGGCGCATTCTTTGAATTCCTTCGATGGTTCCTCCAGATCTGCAGACAAGTAGGCGGCGCAGCCATCTGACAAAACGTCAACGGTGTTGCCGCTATTTAACGTGCAGCTCCCACTTCTTCAGTCTTATGTGTTTTGTGGATGAAACGTCAATATGTTAAGTCAAACGTTACAAGCTGTTATTTTGTTTGAATTCTTGAAATTGGACTATTATTTTCAGAATACAAATGGACCTTTTCGAAAAGGAAGGAGGTAGTTGCACAACTTATTGTACCTTATAATTATTTTAAACTAGGTTTTATTTGATAGGCTGGATTATCACAAAAAACCAAAAAGGCAAAGTAAAACTTGCAGCTTGTTCAGAAGATGAATCTAACATATATGAAAAATCAAGAGGTAATTGGTCCTAGTTTGTTTATTTCCGCTATTTAATCTAAAATCACAACATTAATTAGTCAAATAAGATTTCTCTGTGTGTTACCCTTCTAGATTGGGTAGAAGTAGCGGCTGATAGCACAAAACTAAACACCTTCAGACCTCGACAACGAAATAGTGTAGCCACACTTTTCATAAGGGATCTCCTGAATTCTGAAAGGAAGGATAGCTATTTTGAGATGAAGATACCTAAGCATGATATTTTGTATAGAAAAGTTTTTATCTGTGGGACTGTGGTTGAATTGAATACTAGAACTGCTAAACATTCTATAGTAGGTAGTTACTGTTATATATATTTAATAACCATTAGGTATAATTGTAATAATTTCGTCGCTTACAACAAAAACTATTTTTTTCTGACTCTCTCATGCCAATTTGTAAACTTTGTCAAATGTATGGTACATCCCAATAATGGATACAAATATCCTATTATCTTAATTAAATGCATACTCTTGTACTTTGTGCTCAGTAAAATATAGTAGAATCAGTAGAATCTATTCACTGAAACTTGCAGAATATGTTTCATTGACTGACAAATAAAATCACAGATGCAGAAAGAAATACCCATGTTTTGGCCACTTTGGTGGGCTTTTGCAAATTACTTTGAACTTGACTAAAACATTAGTAAATCTTCATTTGTAGATTGGTGGTATTATTTGGCAGTCAGTCAAACATGGAGCTTCATCTGCAAGATAACCACAAGATAAGGTTAAGGTGTTACATACAATAATGTACTATAAAAGTTATGCAATTTCACAAACTGACAATATGAATGGCTTATTACTGTTCAGTTTTTCAAACATTAGTTAAATGATCTGAAGTTCAATTGAAAGGTACTCCATTAGGATGCTGAACATAGTATAATATGATGGAAATAAAACAGCTGATGGCATACTTAAGTTGAAAATAATTATATTTGGAAACTGATTTCAAATTATTCCAGTTGACGATGGCACTAGCTGTATAAAATGTATAATGTCAACAGAAATAATTCTACCAAATAGCAAGTTGAGTACTACAATAAATGAGAATGATAGTTTTATGTCAACACAGAGTGCATCACAGGCAAAAAATGTAAGTCACTATTTATGTTCATTTACTTATATACTCTGTGACATTAGAAGTGTTACACCCAGAAAAATAATTTCTTCAACTTGATTTTTTGGAAATGAGGCAGTCCTACATCAGGACTGAAACGATAACATTCTCACGAAATTTTATTGACAAGTAATAAGAATAAATTTTAATAATGGGTTGGGCGACCCCGCAGCTGGTACACTCGCACACACAGTATACATCTAGGCATCGACAAAATGAGATGATAGATGTAGGGTTGTGGCACCTCATTCCAAGTAACTCGAATCTCATGTTCGATGAGATTTATATCTGGCGAACGGGGTGGTCACGTCAAAAAATTAGGACGGGTGGACGGCCCTCTAGATACGACAGTAAAGTGGTTTGTAGGACATCATCAACATAACACCGTAGGCAATAGCCCCCCAAACCATTACTCCAACAGTCCTGTGTACATGCCTCTCAACAGCAAATCCCAATATCACGTCGTTTTCCACGGCGGCGTCTTACCCTTCTACGACCATTGTACGTACCTAGACAGAATCGCGATTCGTCGCTGAAGATGCCATTCTGCGTACCAATGTTGCCGTTTTCTGCTCCAGTTCAAACGTTGACGACAGTGGTCCGCAGTCAGAGGAAGCACTAACCGTGGACGGTATGAAAAAAGTCCAAAGGCTCGAATGCGGCGGTAGAGTGTACGCACAGTTACAGGTCTACATTCCCCAAACGTTTGGTCAGCGATCTGGCGCATAGTAGCAAAACGGTCTCGTAGGGCTAGTTGTCTGAAGCGCCTATCTTGACGCTTTGTGGTATGCCTCGGTGGACCAGTTGGCATTCTACGTGTTCCTCTACCTTCTATCCATACACGACACACACGCATTACCGTCATTGAAGTACAATTATTAACATGGCTACCCTTTTTGCGACAGGACAAACCAACAACTCGATAGGCAATAATTCTACCTGTCACAATCGCTAACATGGTGATAATTTGGACGACTTCGAACTCGAGGCATTTTGTTATGCTTAACATTAGTAAATGAAAGGGCAATAACTGAAAATATCTGTGCTGTCCAGCTCTCAGAAACGGCTTTCCTCACAAAAACTAAGAGATAACATTTTAACAAAGGTAAAGAAAAACAAAGATAAAACGCTGACATTTTTGCCACAGCATGCTTTAAATATAGTCATTCTGTTGCCAAAAAAACAAGTTGAAGAAATTATTTTTTGTGGCTATAACGCTTCAAATGTCACTGAGTATATTATAGGGTTTCATTTACAGGGTATAGGTGCTATGGTTTTATCAAAAATGGAAGATCTAAAGAAGTGTATACCTGAAGTGAAAGATCTGACTTTAGGGGACATTGTAAGTATTAACCTCTGGGCCCAGCTTTGTTTTTGGTGGTCCTGGATTTAGTTACTATATAAAATGAAACACCTTATCTTTTAGGTGAAACTTACGGGAAATATGTCTGAATATAATGGTCTCAGGTATGTGTTCATCAAAAGTATTGCAAAGGAACCAAAAGGAAGCACATTTTATGATAATCATATGGAGTACTTGGTGAAGTTATACGCGGAGTTAATAGAGTAACTACTACTATCATACTGTTATGATGGACTATAGAACATTTCCTTTCATTCATACTTCATCTGCCAGTTTTAAAATATATCGGATCTGGGTACCTGATATGAAACAAACAAGAGAAGAAAGAAGGTAAGAAGGAAGGTGAACAGCAAAAAGAGGAAGTGAATCTGTAATTATAGGTGCTACAGCAGAAATAGTTGTTACTTGAGCGACATATCAGGATATTGTTTATATACTTATCGTTTTTGTGATGTACAATTTTTACAATGTTAAATGTGTTGTTACAGTAATAAGTGCTATTATACATATTTGTCGTATATTACATTGGTCCTTAGTTACATAAACATCAGATCAATAATTACAGTGGCGACGCGTGACTTTTCCTAAACTGTTACCAAAAAAAGTTTATTTTGAACCTCCCAAATATAAGTTTTTGCTTATTTTAGGTATTTTATTTAAACTATTTTTAAATTAAGGTAAACATGCGTGGACTGAGCGTCTGGGGCACTTGATATACCTCACCGTCTTATGTTATGACTAATCCAAGCCGTCCGAAAAAACAGTCGACGTTTCGAGATGTTCGGAAAATTTTTGATCTTTTTTGGCAATGAATGTTAACAATTCCCTGTAATTTCCTCTATTGTCAGAGTCATCCCCTTCAAAATGAACGGTAATTCCTGTGTTGCCAAAAAAACATACGGTATATAGAAGTGTGCTGCCTAAAAGCTTGGTTAAGACAACTTTAAATTCTTGTTTTGCCAAACTGAATTAAATTGTCTACACATCTCACATGTAACGGATAAATTTCATGTCTCCTCTTTAGAGCCCTAAAACTATTTGAATCGTTGACTCCGCTGCTGGTACACCCATTTTTTTCTGTATAAAACAGAAGACATCGCCAACAAAACAATCTGTTTTTTGCAACCACATAACCAAGAGTTTCCATATACCAACTTAATTTAAAATATCAAACTACGTTTTTTTATTCCTTTTTTAAATTATCTAAAATAGTTGTTGGTCTTCCATTTTCAATGATCTCCTTTTTTTCTTAAAAATTATACAAGGAGAATGACTTTTCAAGTAGTTGATCGATTACGCAGCGACACTCATCCATCTTTAATTGCACGCATACTACAGCCGGTAACCAAAACGGCTACTAACGAGTGAGAAGTGAGTAACCAAATCAAAAAATGGTAACAAGCCCACATAATAGTCGCAGCGCCCCACGCACTCGGGCGGCCGCGATCAGACACGAGCCGGTACCGACGGTCACCGACGGACTACCAAGTGTATCCATAAATGAAAATGCTAACAACCAAGTCGAGGCGAGTCAGCTTCATCGTGTTCGCAAAACCTAGACACTAAAGGGCGCATTATTTTCGTGGGTCTAATTTGCTATTTACTGAATTACTGTTACATATCGCTGTTGGTAACCAAATAAATGAAATTATTTCACTGTACTTAGTCATAAAATATTTGTTTTTAAGATTTTTAACTGTTACCAATGGTAACAATGGTTACATGGACGCTTCGTCACTGAATAATTAGATTCATATTCAAAAAATAAAAAATACCAGTGCAAGTGCAGCCTGTAGTTGAAAAAGATTGAATTGATTATGGCTTGATAGACATGAAATATTTTAATAAAATGAAAGTGTTTTTTTTTTGTTTGATAACGGTAATAATATAATATGCAACCATGGGAGGTACTCAGGCGCTTTGGAAAGCTAAATGTAGATGGTGCTAGCTAGGTTAGAGGTTATTTGTCAAGTCGCTTTCAATGTTTTCTGGCTTCAGTCCAAAACAAAACTTTTCAAACATCCTCATTGTCTATAAATTTCAAACAAGTTACACAATAACATTACCACTTTTTCTCTTCTACACGGTGGGGTAGTTAGAATTTTGATCTGACGTTTCAGCTCTCAAATTTTTGAAATTATACGGTTTTCGATGTCTTCATTATCACCCTTAAATAATATAAATGAGTTACGTTATGTTGTTCCTCATTCGATGAGTTTAAACCAACTATATCGGGCACTTGTTATTATATTTGATGTTCTATGAAATAAATGACTACATGATAAATTCGAGCCTTCTCAGGAAAGAAATATAATAATATATGATATAACTGAAATCAGAATTAGAAGCTATTTGCCTATGCGAAAATAGCATACATGAGAAAAATCAAAGTTGAGGCGGGGGATAAGAGACAAAAAATCATATTAAGATATGTTCACTTCAAGAGATGGCAATGTTAATGTGCAGTTTGAAATCCTATATCAGATAAATTCAGAAAAAAATTAGAGACGATTTGGGAAAATCGGAGATCAATCAATTTGTTTTTCAAATCGTTCTAGAATAAATTAGGTACATATCACTGCTCTACTTGTATCTCATATTTCTTACATATTTATCATTAAAAGAACATTATTTACTAAATTTTCTTTTCAAGGTATTGTTTTTACAGTCATGATATCCCTGACTGTGTTCTTATATGCAACATAATAAAAATTGTTTTTGTTCCTTATCAGCAGTGATTAAACCATGAAAGACTTGCATTAACTTGACTGCTCTTTCTACCATATCGTTAACTGCTCTCAGTGTTTGCACCTTATTCTTGGCATGTTGAAAATAATCATTATGTGGCCATGAAGTTGGACACTCGTCGAGAAAACTGTCATCAACTTTGAGACGACTGAACAAGGACTTGCCTTTGACTTGATAAATGCCTTGTGTTTTTTAGCAACTCATCAGCATCGTCCAGGCATGACCTCAAGTCAGGACAACGAACGAAAACATTGCATCTAACCTCTATTTGAGATATAAGATCTATCGACGCAAGACAGTATTGTCAGAATCGCAGTTTAGGCTGGCTTATTCTACCATAAAGTATGCCAGAAAGTTCTTTTTTCGATGGGATGTCGCGTTTACCGTGGGCTTATATACTTTCATTGGCTAAATTAGCAACAATTAAAAAGCATAAGTTCTGGTTAGGTGCTTTTACCGCTAAAGTACATTGCAACTACGGTAACTGACACATATCTATTTCTTGTCCACCCCACCTAAATGACAGGTCGACCTGGCTGTCTCTGCTCAATTGAAGCGCGTCATATCAAACAGATTGTCCAAGTTCGTAACAAACTCTTGTCGACGTTGCCCAAACACTTCTTTTATGTTTTGCTTGCATTTTTTTGCAAATCTCCACAAACTTTATATAAGATAACTAGTTTCTTAGCATAGTTAGATATAGATTTAGTCGGTATACGTGCCTTTTCCCATGAAATAATACACTCACGAATAGTAAGGTTGACGCTCTCGGCAAAACTGCTAGTACTAGTCCATTAGCGGGAGGTTTTGAACCGGTAATTTGATGCTTTACGTCTCCTTTTAATAATATCCCCTTTTTAGAACTGCGAAATTCCTTCGCCATGTTGACTAATTGAAAACGGTGCGTTTACTACTAGAACCAACAAGCACTGCAATATGTTAGCTAGCGCGCGCCTAATATGCAAGTTTTGACATGTACCAACGCAACTCGGCACGGGTTGCTCTGGCTCTAGGTACATAAAACTTTATTTAAAATTGTTTTGACATTGTTCAAGCGAAATTAGAGGGTAAGCGTCTTAAAAAAATAACAATTTTTTTTGGACACCCCAATGATCATATGTGGATAATAACACAAAATAAATGTAGAATGCATGCAAATAAGTAGTGCGTTCAAATTGCCTCAAAAAAAAAACATATAACCTTCCGTAGTCGTAAAATTGGGCGGGTGAATAAAATTCAAAATTCGATTAAAAAACTCGTCGCTTTTTTGGGCCTATCTAAACATGGAAAAGTTCTGTACTTGATCATCTTTTCAACAACACAGAAACAATTTGTTATGCAGTCAAAAGAAGATAAAAGGGTTGGATTCTCCCCTTGATGAAATTAATAAAAGTAGTAATAGCAAAGCAATAAAAACAGGTAGGCTTCTGAATGCAAGTTGATGACTTCCAATACTTGGATTAAGTACATTTCAGGCCTATGACAATATTCAGGGCATTAGTGGTGAAGGTTTATAAGATTAGTAAGGGTTTATAATCATTTTAAATCCTTTCAAAGTAAAATTATTTATCTTCCTAATCAAAATATTACAAATGGTATAACTCTTGGCCATCCATACCGTAGTACCTATCGTTAATTAGATCTAAAATGTCGGTAATCCAGGTATCCATATTTATTTTGTGTTATAATTTGGACAAATCAAGTTACAAGGATATATTTATATTATTTATGCCCGTTTTCAAGCAATTCGGCATAAAAACAAAAAAGATCATACATCGGTAACCGTAGGACATGGAATATTGAGGTTTCCTGTAAAATCATTAAATAGCCTAGAGTAGATATATGATTTGTGGAACTTCCACCAAACAATTTTTTCAAGGTGCCCCTCCCTTCCGATTTGAGCTGGATACGCCCTTGTTCCGACGACTGTCAATGTTACAGCTGAGGGCTATTTTCCTTGCTGATATATTTTACAGCCTGGAAACAGGACATACGCCATAGTGAATGTTCGCGCGGTGCGAACGGCGAAGCGTCTAGCGAATGAAATAAACGCATATAAATGTACTCATCAAGCCACGCGCAGCGGCGAATGGTGAAGCGATAGGCGAAATGTACCGAGCAAACCGCGCGTGCGACTGGCGGCGCGGCGGGTGAGTGAAACAAAGGCATGAATTAGTAACGACGCAAGCGCAATCCGCGAAGTCTAGCGGCAGTTGCGGCGAATGGTGCAGTAATCAAATGAGTTTAGTTTTTTTCGCCGCGAAAAATGAACAGCATAAATATAAACATGTAGTGAAGAGATTATGGGAAAAATTAAAATAAAATTTCCAGTTTCAGAAGGTAAGTAGCAATTTTTTATTCATAGGTTACAAAGTAGTCTTTAAAATGATTTCTTATGTTTATAGCTTGTAACGTGGCTCTATTGTTCCTCCGAGACGTTATAACTTGATTAGATGTTGATTTAGAACTCATGTATCGTCTAAAATCGGGATCACTGTTTCCATCTTTTTCTCTTACAATATTATGTAGTAGACATCCAGCTTTAATAATTAATTTTGCATGTTTAGTGTCTGTTTCCATTGGTTTGAGGAAGATTCGCCACTTGTTAGTCATAATACCATATGCACAGTCAATTGTCACTTGAGCTCTTGACAATCTTTTATTGAAAATTCTTTTCGAATCATCTAAAGTACTGGACGGAAAGGGTCGCATAAGATAGGTTTTCAGTGGATAGGCTTCGTTGCCAACCAAGACATGTGGCAGTAAAATATTTGACCCAGGTAATCTTCTTGGCGGTGGCATATGAAATCGATTGTTAGTAAGCAATTCATTAAATTTTGAAAAATGAAACGTGCCTCCGTCACTTTGTCTTCCT